TGTAAACTTTGTATTATCTACCGGTCAGGTTTGTTCTTGACTCAGAGAAATGTCTTTCAAAGTATCTTTGAGCGTTTATCCCTATCCACTAGAAATTCACATTTCTTCGAAAGTTCTGTCGCAATTGTTGCCAGATATAAGTCCGATAAAATGGGCACCCAAGAAAACTGTAAAACTGTATTATCCAGGTTTTGCCTTAGTTCCCTACTGAAGCACATTCGACTGATACACTTTTACCTTGTGAACCAGGGAACAAGAGAACCAAATCGCAGTTTTGGTACCAAAGTTAATTCGTAGCTTACGAGTAATCAACCCAAACATAACGTTTTTCAAATTTCGTTTCAGGAGCGAAAATATCGAATCAAAAACTGGCAAACCAAATATGTACGTGCACTAAGTAATTAACAGACCACTTAATATTTTGAGCAAAACAAATTTATCCAAAACAGTGAGAGTGGTGACAGTCAATATAAGTTTCTAACAAGTCGAATACTTTCAGTTCCTACTGTAACACAAACCCTAAATCTTTTGTCCGAATATCACAATTTTTGTTATGTTGAGTGTTCGAAGATGAGCCAGGGAGGTTTTTCGTCCCATCTCGACCTTATTCTGACGAACAACATAAACCACCGCACATGTATACCTTAGAAAGTTCGGGCTACAATCTCTGTCATTAACGTCTGACAAGCAAACATTTAGGTATCTCTCCTCAGCAGTCGCAGCCTGTGGAATAGCTGTTTGTTTCTCAGATTCCTGGGAATCTATTTGAACCAGGCATATGGTTGACTGCACTAACTTGATTCGGGACCAAACATCCAGTGATACCAACAAAGCTGTTCAGATTGTCTGGACTTGTGTGACCTGTTTCGATATCTTGATCTATTCTGTTGTGGTAATGTGCTTCAACTTTTGTGGATGGCAGTTCCTGCTAAACTTTTGACACTTGTGATGGGTTCTACTGTGACGAGACCTGCTGATGTTTCATTAATTTGCATGTTGTGTAATATATGCGGCCCAACTGTAGGGATGTCACTTCATAATCCTATTCTCAATGCGTGTTAAATGAGGCCTTGTATATCCAGTGTTAATTGTAGCATGGAGGAGTTTATATCCATTTTTAAGACCGCTTCACCCACAATATTATCGCAGACCAAGACTTACTGATAACTTCAGAACTTGGATGGTGACCTATGACCCGTTTCCGCTCGTCAGTTTCTTAAGATTCTCTGACTGTTTGATAGACGTACGATTTATTATTCCACATCCTATGATTGTGTATGGTTTAAATTTGAGAGAGCCTCAAATGGAATCACTGATTTCTTTAGGAGCTGAAATTGTGAGCAAAAGTACGAATATTGGTGCCGAATTCTATGATAACTAAAAATATTTGAATTGTTGTACTCAGTAAAAATTCCCAAAATAATGAAATTCACAGCATCTAGAACTACGTGAGTACAAAAGAATCATTATTTCGTAAAAATAACGCATGTGCCACAGCTTAAAGTAGAATCTAAATTTCTTTAATCGACTGTACTTCTTCTTAGGTTTATTGTGTGTCTGTTTGACTGCGTATTGGATGTAGACACTGAGTTCAGGATGTATTAATTAGTGTTGAACTTAACAACTGAAATTGAAAAAGACTAACCTGGTTCCTGGAATTGTATCTAACCAACATGTGTACTTAAATCACCGTTATCTAGAAACGGAACCATAGATTTTCCAACACTTCTCACCCAAGAAATAATGTTGGATCTTCATATCCTCAAGTTACAAATAATGTGGCTTTATTTGAAACATATTTCTCACATTGACAAGAGGATTCACTTGAGGATAAATAGAATTTGATATGAAATCATCCGAACGGTAATCACGTTTGAAATCACTTAGAACTCATGTTTCACACTGACCAAGTCTCTCATCAGAAACAAATGTATTATGAGGACAAATTGCACTTTATATGACATCGGGATTTAATACTTCTGGAATATTTTCCTCAAATTTATTGGGAATTTCTTTTGAGAACAATGGATCATGAGAAAAATCAGCATCTATTCAAAATCGCATTAGATTTCTGATCATGACTTGACCCATTCAACATATTTTTCTCATTTTTGTAAGAATTTTCATCAAAGATATGAGAATCATTAAGACATCTCATATCTGGTGAAATATCATGAGAAATGTGATAAGAATTCGATTCATTGGAAACTTTTGTCCCACAATGATTTTGACTTTCATTTCATGAACTTGTATTAATTGCGCTGTTCCAGTTATTTTCTGAATACGAGGTCCTGCAGCTTTCCCGTCAAATATCACGCGATGTATGAGTTTATTTTGGTTGGAGTTTAGTTTCAGAGTTATGCTAGGTTAACGAAGCTTCGTTTGATTACGAACTGAGGTGTGACTCTAGCTACTTGTGTCAACAATAAAGTTATGAAATGAACCAAGGAGGGTATATAATTGCTTTTGACTATGGACATTACCCTCCGAAATCGTGGATAAAGATAAACGATCACTAGAAACGCCCAACTTAATAAAATACGAACTACGGAGTTTATAATCACTTGTGGCAAAGTGAACAGTAGCTCTGCAAACAGATTTTATGTGTCCCATATTTCCAAACTTAAAGCATTTGGCATGACGAAAGACACATGAATTACGTAGATGAAACTTATCATTAGTTAGGCATTTACCAAATCCGTGCTCACCTCAGTAACCTGCTTTGCAACTTCTCGATGAATTGATATCTGGATGACCTTTAGTATGCATTGGATTGGGACGATCAAGTAATGTAGAATTCTTGATGTTTCACTTTTTGAAATTTTGCTTCTTCATGGAACTGAAATTAGTACATTTTACATAATTTACTAGTAGTTCCTTGAAAGTTGCGTAGGGAAATGAAATAGACCTATCTAAAAGTGCCCGTGTATAGTAAACTGAAGGCATCCTTTCTGATGAATGTAAGGACGTAAGCCACAGTTTTGTCATCCCTTACATCTTTCCTGGTGATACTCCAGATTTCAAACCTTTCTATGTAATCTTTGGAAGCTTCAGAATTCGAACGTATGTCCAGTTGTTCAAACACAGGCTCCATCGTAAAGTCAGTATGATGATTAGGAGAATTCAAACTAAAGTACCAACCAGGAATTCTAGAAATAGTGCAATTCAAGTTAAATGGAACTATGTGAGCACAAATGAATGAATTTGGGAATCGTAATCAGTGGGCAACCAAGTACAAAAGAATCATTATTTTGTACAAATACCTCAAATTCCTATGGATTTATCGTCGCACCTCGAGATGCACTGCTCCAGTTGACCTCCAGATCATCTGTTAATGGGCATATAAAAATATTTCTTCTAAAACAAGGAAGCATCTATTGTTCGACTAATATTTACCCTCTCCTCAGGTACGGAATTCAGAAGACAGTGTGATATTCAGTCAAACTAATTAGGTACACACTCTTCAGCAGTCAGTAGACGAATATATGAGTGGTATTACTCACATAAAATTTTGTCTCTGCCTGCCTGCAGTAATAAAAGAAATTATTGAGGAGTCTATCACGTCAGGTACAAGGATCTGATGTGATCTAATAACTTGTTTGGATCCATCCAACTTAGTGCTTATTTTTATAACATAATGTCGGTAGGATTCTGAACATCTTGGCGGTGATTCATGGAAGTGGGCATCAGTCTTCAGAACATGACTCACTGTTACCTATGGATCATTGTGGGACAAAACTGAGGAAACCGACTATTATCCAATGCAATGGCTATTTTTCTTTAGATCTCTAATCTCTACAATGATACGCATAAACTAGGTCTTAGACCGGCTAACCAGGACGTTCAGATTGACCAGAAGTGCACACACAGATGCATCCTTAAGTGCTTCTCTCCAGATTTACATACCACCAGTATATGGCAACACTGGGAATTTGATGACATATATATGTATTCAGTACTCCACTAAATACTGATTTCTGTGAAGAATACTTGGAGTTTATCCTTTCTAATCAAAAGATCCCGACCCAGTAAAATCAGAAACCAGGAATGTAGGGGTTCGAATATACGTTTGGAAGGTATTCGTAGTGTCAAAAAGTGTTTGACTTAGTCTGACTAGCTGTTGCGAAGAATGTGTTTCAGGGTGTACGCAATGGTGATCTGATGCACGTGCGCGATCTAACGCTTTCAGCTAGGGTGTGTCCAGCAAAACTACTGAGGTCAGAAACGTTGTCGGGGACCGACAGGAATATTTGTTTTGGGATCTATATACCGCTGCAAAGCTTTCAAGTCCAGCCTAAATGGAAAATAAGTGCCTCTAGGTTGGAGCTTTGGTATATTACAGAAAAACCGAATTAGAAAATTTAGAAGTTCAGTTTTAGGTACTGTGTTGGATCCATGACAAAATATGTTTCCTTTTAGGAGTCTTTCAGTAGACCTGATTGGACTTATTTGGAAATCATGCCCGATGTTCAACGAGTTGTTGGTTTTCATGGACATTTTAGTGGTCTTCTAAATTATTCTCAAAACTATCTTGACTTCCATGGTGGGATTGACAGGTCTACAGATTGATAATTCAAATTAGCGACTGGTAACCAGAATGAAAATAATATACAGTAACAAGAATTGGGAAAGTTTAGACCCAAAATCAGTTTTAAAGTTTAGAATTAGATAGCAATCTTAAAATAAAACTAGTCGTAATGAAACATATTTGGTGTATAATAGTTGAAATAGTCATTCTCTGCAGATTCCCCGAAATATATAACTGCCCAACTACCATCTTTATGACTTTTAAAAAAAGTGATGTGATACTTTCATAATGACCCAGAATGGCTTCTCAATGAATTATCATTTATTCCCCCCATTTCTTTTTTCATAATCTTTAATCTTTGCTTAGAGGAATCATCAACCCATTGAGATTGGGTACCTCAATTCGTCAAGAATCAGCCTCTCATAATTTATCTATACTTATTTAAAATAATTTATGACATTAGCATCTAGTTGTTTATCTGCGCTACCAGGGTCCATCTTGGTCGGCTTCGGGACACACATATCGCTTCGTGTAAGTTGCTTTGTTTTTTCCCATCGATACCAAATATCGTTCATCATTTCCCAGGTTTTTTACTTTAGGGGTAACCACCCATGTTTCGCGTGTAGATGATTATAATATTGTCGGTTGTAATGGTGTCACAGTAACGTGAATCTCCAAGATTTACATGTAAACGTACTTCATTCCGATTACGTAGTTTAGGGTCGGTGGTGAATGTTCCTCAAGGGAAGTCTTACTTCGTGTTGTTGCTAGATAATCTGTTTGTCACATTTGGAGACCACTGGCTACAGACACACAAATAAAACTTGTTTAGATTTAGATTTATTTGTTGAGCACTGTTGACCAAACATTTTGCCCCAATCTCCCTATTTTGGGGTTTTCCCCAAAGCTTAGAGAAATCCCGTAAATGGACAGAATTCTCCCCAAAATTGAAAGATTGGGACGTTAGTTTGTTTTTATTAAGCTTCTACGAGTGTAAATTCTCTTCAATAAGTTGATTAAAAATATGGACACTCCTTCAGTTAGTGGTTCCTAAGAATTGGCAACCCAATGGGAGGACCTGTGATGCCGAGGGGATATCGTCTGTTCTCGTCTTCTCAATCTTGTTTCCCATGAGTTGTCCTGGCGTAGTTGTAGGAGGGGGGAGATATAGCAGGTCCGAGCTCATTTAGTATCCTGTACATCAAAATTAGTTCACCTCAAGTTTCTAAAAGACTTCTCAGGTCTGTATGATAAGCCTCAGTTCCGAACTTTCCCAGAAAGCTGCCTACTACTTTGAACGAAAGTTTGTGGCCTGAATACAGTTTTTAGTTTGGACTTTATATGGCCTGTATATACCATATATAACATATTTGTATCCAACTTGGTAAATGGTCATGACACTCATGTAGTTCCAATCCCTCTAACCCTGGTTAGTAGTAAGCCGTAGTCTTTGGTCGTAACTCTCACCCATAATTCATTGAGACAAGACTAGGGGCACTGACGCTTCACACAACCAACATAAACATGTCTGACGTGTCTATAAACTTGATGATAATGATAGATTTTGATGGAGTTTTGTTCTCTGAGCTGGATGGTTTGGTCGTGGAGCTTTCATCGTTCTTCTGAACATCATCAGCACAAACTTCAGATAGACCAAACCATCCAGCTCAGAGAACAAAACTCCATCAAAATCATCCACCTGAGCTACAAATCTTCTCCACCATCTGATAATGATAGATGTTGGCTACTTTTAGAACAGCTTATCAGGGAGTCTAGACCGGTCTGGAGTGCCTACATCGTCATCTTCCGTCACTTTCTAGATCTTTAGTTTGCCTGTGTAAAGTAGCATCGACGATTCACTCATATTGATTTGGAAAACTGAAAGATCTAAAATGATGCCTCGCGGTACTTCATGAAGTATTAATTCCCTCAAGGAGCATTTAGAGTCTTTTTCCTATCAAAAAGTCTTTGATCCACTTAAGTGCGAATCCAAAAACTAAGCCTCTCAGTTTCAATAGGAACATACTATGTGGCACCCTATCAAACGCTCATCTGAAGTTTTCCAGTCAGTCAGTAACAACGTAAAACTTTGTACGTACGTACATCAGTTCGAGTTGCCATACCACATTAGCACATATGCAGTTGTCGATTCAAATCCTCTAGTTGTAGAGGTAGTAAAAGTATAAGCAGTAATCGGAAAGATTATGGCTTGAAGATGTTATTCAAGGAGTATAATCCAGTGAAATAAATTTGGAAGGAAAAAAAGTTCATGAAGAATTCAGGAGATTATAATTTCGGAGAACACAGAGTAGATGCACCTGCTCACACCATTGCAAACGATTTTGAGCCATGTCATTCAAGGTCTCTAACCATCGGTTGCTGTCGTCTCACGGATCCCAACCAGGTAGTCTACACCTACTAACATGGCTCAGTCCACTTGTCAGTGACTTCATGGATTTGTTCCCTGTTTTGGTCTGTCCGCCCCTAGCTTTCTTCCAAAATACTCCTACACCATGAAACATTGCACGTCGTGGCAGTCGGTGGATGGACATACGCAATACATGTCCCAGTCATCTCAGCTGACTAAGTTTCACTACTTCATCAATTGATTTGCCATCCTTACCTAGTACCCATTTCCTAACAACTGTGTTACTTAATCGATGGTCCCAGGATATACGAGCAATGCTTCGAAGACACCTATGATCAAATACTAGTAACCTACGAATATTCTCTACTCTTACGAGCCATGTTTCACTGCCATAAAGTAGGATGGAGTGAACTGCTGCGCAGTAAAGCGTCGTTTGGTTGGTAGACGGATATTTCGTCTACTCCAAAAATGACGCAATTTGGCAAAAGCTAGTCGAGCCTTCTGTATCCGTGCTGAAATTTCGTCACATCAGGCTACAAGAGCTGATGAGACTCAAGATAAGTGAAGCGGTCGACCCGCTCAACTACTTCATTCCCTGTCATTAGTTTAGATGTCAATGCAACGCAATCCTGAAGCAACATTTTTCATTTTGAAGTTTTAACAAACAACATTCATTAATTGCATGTGGGGCTAATCCTAAGTTAAAATTAGGAGCATGTGTAAAGATCGTCTCAAAATAATCAGCTATGGCTTTTGCTTTAACATTGTTTTCTATCATTCGCGATGCACTTCCTTTCGTAATTAGCTTAGGGTTCCATTGTTGGGTTTTGTGATAGACTTATGCGAATAATCGTTTCGACTTCTTGGTTTCAGTTGGCATCAGTTGGTTTCTGTACTTCTGAATGGCACGGATTGTACCGGTGCATTTATTCCTGGTCGATTTGTACTAAGACCAGTAAACCTCAAATCTGACTTTGGATGTAGGGCAGTGTATCTAAGTATAGTACTTTCCGTTAGTCTTTAATTTTAACTGAATCAGTAAAAGCAAGCACTGCTCAGGTCTCGATTTCATAGTCACCTTGGGTGATTATAGTCCATTTTGTTTATTTTCCTTCAGAAAACACAAGTTATCCGGTGGGCAAGATTCGACCAATAATTTAACCCCTTTTTGGTCCTATTTCTGGATTTCCCATTGACGTGGTACAGTTTACTTTCAATTGAGAGGTCAAATATTAAAGTCCAACCCTTTGAGCGAATATATATATATACTGGTACAAGAGGGCACCAAATACATATGCGCCACACTTTGTCATCCTATTTGTATGAGGGCTGGGATACTGCCCGTGTGCGCAAACCGAGACATGTGGTTTCCCTAGAGGGTCACTCCTCGGGCCTTTGACCTAGAGGTTGAATCCACAAGTCAACGGTACAACTTTAGCAGATGCAGTCCCATGATAGCCGGTGGCCAACAATAGGTTCATACGCCTTTTGTTTCCCCAGGGTCCTCTAACCCATGTGTAACATCTGGGTTTTCCAACTACCCTAGGTGAACCCTCAGTGTTCACCAACTAACGGAAATTCCGAAAATCAAATCACAGACTTAATGGTAGTTTTGTACATCATTCACAACTCAACATCTTGTTTCGTATTAATTCCTTTAAAGTATTCGGTAATTACTCTAACCGGTTGCTCTATGTCCCTTAAGTCACACTTTATGAATCAGTGACCCTACTTGGGTGCTAAACTGAAGTAATTGTAAGTAGAGTTATAGCCACTGCGCTACCCCTCTAGATCTGGGCTGAGTAGAACATGTAATCGTTCTTGTTTCCACTTGGGAATGTTTTCGTAGATGTTCGTTCGTTCGTTCGTTTATGCGTTGTTCAAAGCATGAAATTTCGAAATTAATGACTGAGCCAAAAATAGGTCGAATGATAAAAATACGAATTTTTTGATCTCTATTTTGTCTTGAAAATCAAGTGAAGAGGTCGTTTTCTAATGAAAAGTTCACGGACCGTTTCACCTTTTTATCTATACCTATTCATATAGACATGGTAAAGGACAAGTCATTATTAAACAATCCAGTGTTGTCTAATTTTTTTATTCTGGAAATCTCCTGGTTCCAGTGATACATTTTGATTTTCTCTTGTTGCAGAACAAAGAATGTCTGTCATCATTCGACTCCAAAACCTACCAATTTCAGCAAACGCCTCAAATATTCGACGCTTTTTCAGCGGGTTATCCATTCCTGAAGGGGGCGTGCACATCGTCGGGGGCACGGAAGGTGACGCATTTATTGCCTTTGCTACAGATGAAGATGCAAGAAAAGCTATGCTGCTTGATCGACAAACAATCAACGGGGCATCTGTTCGCCTGTTTCTGAGCAGTAAAGCCGAAATGCAGTCAATAATCGAATCTGCAAAAACTTCAGCCTTATTTTCTAGTGGAGGAAATCCGGTTTTATCTCAATCTATCTCTCAAAAGACTGAAACTATGCATGCACTAGATGTGACAGCTCCTACACTGCCCAGTTCCTTCCCATCGTACCGTAATGGAGCCACTCGTGAATCATTTGATGATTCCTCCAAGCAGTATCCTTACACCTATGGCAAAGGTGTAACCTTGGATCCCCCTCGTGGACAAATTGAATCAGCTGAACGTAACAACCCGGACAAATATCCCGAAACTTTACCTCCAGATAGACCTCATTTTAGTCAGGATCGAGATTATAGTTACAATAACCAACCTAACATGCATTCAAGGTATGATGCGATACGAGACTTCCCACCAACTAACGACTATGGTCCAAGAGATACATACTTGAATAACCGAGGTGACTTGGGACATAGATCTTATCGCGATGATTACGATTATAGTAGGCACCCGCCATCGATTACTTCTGAAGACAACTTCGTCCCGAGAGGCAAAGACAATGAAGGCAAAAGTAGTCCAAGGGACTCTTATGCTGATCCTTATTCTGCGCTACACGTCTCGGATGGTATGACGACAGATTATGATAAGTACCGTGCACAATCTCCTAGAGTATTCAATGATCGGTTCCCTCCACATGATATTCAATCACGTGAGTTTGGTCATGGAAATACCCACCCGTTTCCATCAGAATTTAGAAGTGGCCCGGGTTATCCGCTTGATCGTGAAACTGCATGCACTGATTCTAGGTTGCAAGAGGAACGCGATTTTTCTGTTAGACCTCCGTGGCTCAACGATAATGCACCCGTTTCAGGACCAAAGCGTCCATTCCAGCATCAGACTTCAGACTTTGAAGAGTACCCACGAAAACGTCGACCACAACCCTCATCATATACTCGCCCATCTGACATAGTGCCTGGAGAAACTGATTACGTACTAAGAGTTTGTTTGCCCGCCCCAGAAGCTGGGATAAAGACTGTTTTCGAAGTTTTACGTGGCGTCCAAGTTGTTCCAAAATGGGGTATCCGGGTTGAAGAAGATTTGCTACAACGTCCCACTGGGTATGTGTTTATAATGATGACAACTCGTGATTCGTATGAACGGGCACTCAGTTTTAATAATCGTCCTCACAAAGGAGACGTGATAAAAGTAGTCAAATGCACTCTAAGTGAATTTTACAGTGTTAGTGATACAAACTTTACTTCAAAATGCCCTCCAGAGGTTGCCAAAAAACTTCCACCACCTGATCAGTTCTACCCTCCTCATTACAACGATGGTTGTCTTGAGCTAGCTGAGCTCCCATCTGATACCACCAAGACAGAAGTAGTTCGGTTTTTGGGTGCTCCTGGTCTAACTTGTGAAAATGTTGTACTGGCTCGGTTCCCTCCAAATGATAAGTCTGCACCACGCAGTACCAACTTAACTAGGGCACTAGTTACGCTTCCTTCTGCAGAGGATATCAAAATCCTTCTTTCTGCCAAACCACGGCCATTTCGACCAGATGTGGGACTTCCATCAGTGCGCTTAACACCAATATCAAAGTTGCAAGTCACTGCTTATTCAGCCTTAGCGATCGGTAGTAAATCTGAAAGTACTAAAGAATCTATCAAACCACCTGTTCCTCGTGATGTCGATTCGGAGCCTACTAAACCACCTGGTGGCTTTTTGACATGTGCTTGTGTCAGTGGGTTTTCTCGCACAGTAAAAGATTCTGAAGTTCTGAATCTGTTTCCGTCCATCCTAATTCCTGGAGATGCGGTACGGCTGGCTCCTGATGCTAATATTGCTTTCATTGATTTTATTAGTGAAAACAACTGTCGTCGTGCTGTAAATGAAGCATCGACTGAAGGTTCTAAGGCAAAACAGTCACATCCATCTCTTCATATAGAAGCCATTTCTCGAGAGGAAATGCTGAACCGTTTGGGTGCCGATCCAAAAGATGAACAACTCAACTTTGACAGACCTGGAAGATCTCGTGACAGAGATCCTCGGGAATCCCGCATCCATTGGGATCAACGCCAGCGTCCGTCACCTTCGAATCCATTTGAGAGCCGTCCCCCAAGTGTAGGCAGAGCTAAGTACGATGACTCTTACTATGACCGCCCTGCTGTACCTGCCCCTTTTGATGACCATCACGACTCCTTCCGTAGGTTCCGCCCGCCTGTGGATAATTTACATTCTATCCCACCACACCAATCAGATATTTCATCTGTTCCGAGACAACCTGTTCCTCTTCCACATCGTCGCCCAGTTCCTGACTTTGTTACAGTTTTTGTCGGAAATCTTCCACCCGCATGTACAGTTGATCAACTAGCTGGAATAATGCGGGATTATTACTTCGTTCCGGGTTCGATAAGACTACGCCGTGATCCTCAAGGGCAGTTTGTTGGTGAAGCGTTAGTTGATTTCAAAACAAGTTACGAAGCTGATAGGGCGCTCAGAGGACTAAATGGATATCGAGTAGCCGGTCGACCCTTGGTATTGCATTTTGATCACCGGAAGTGACAGGTAAGATTTTTATTTATTTTATATTGTAGGACTACTCGTAAACTTTTTATGTAAAGTAACTCCTTGCATTTTTGAAAATCTTTGTGTAACTTAGTTATTTTCTGAGATTTGAAACTAGAATTTGACTCAATATATCAATCCCTTGAATAAGTCCTAGTCTTTTTTCTCATATATGGGTCAAATCGTACCCAATGACTAAGTTAGTTTGTACCAAAACATTTACGTACATCCTCTCGATTCATTAGTATTTCTATATTTTGGGTGTGTTTATTGTAAGATCATTGTTAACATTTCCTTCAACATACTCTAAGCCAATGTTTCCAGATGATATCAAACTACACCAATTAGTTCACAAATTGAGAACATAACTTATGGTGTAAATTAACTATAAAATCTCGCTTTGTAAGTATATTTGAAAGTTAGTCCACCGGTTAACTGCCGGTATGTTCTGTGAATACGTTTCTAAGGGAGATATCTAGTGTAGGATTTCCGTGTTCTCATTAATGATCACTTGTAGGATTTTGAAACAAATGTTTATTACCATCCAATCGATTATCAATGTTAAGGACGTCTTAACTCTTCATATTTGGTGTGTTCGCATTTTACGATGGTGAAGTGTATATCGTTGACTTTATTCGTTCATAGTTCCTGTAAATTTTGATAAGTTTGTTCTTGTTTAACTTTCATAACACGATGATAAAGTATTTGTTACGTCAGTCTGGATTTCTGGTAAACATTTCATATGATATTTGATTTAGGGGGTCCAACGGATCGCGAACTTCCCATAAGTTCCATTAAATTTTAATATTTGTATATAACGTGAGAATTATTTAGTACAATAGGAAGGTAGGGGATATGCTATAAAAATCATCTAAAAAGAAATAGAAACCATCTAATTAAGTAGTTCAAGTAATGTCACAACCAAGATAGATGTCTTCAACTAAAGGTGTGCGTCATATCAAATTTTAAAATTTGCTATCGAGAATTAATAGTACCGTCACCTACTGTATTCTAAACCATTTCACTGAATCGAGTTATCTTTGAGGTCCTATCTGGAGTGTTACAGTAACGCACTAACTCAAGCTATCCTTCACTACACCATACCATAGACTTTCTTCCCTCACACTGTCCCAGTGTCATCGAATCAAAGGTACGGTAATAATCACTGGTATACATTCTGCGTGCCATAGTTATTATTCTAAGGAGGTAGGGCTAATTGAATTATGGTCGTTATTATTTCTAACTCCAAGTATTCAGTGCCAACAGTCCTTCGTAAATAGCGATCATAGGTGGTTACTAAAAATCCTTTACCCGAAGTCAAGTTTTATTAGCATGGATCACATCACTGTACCACTCAGCTCTTATGCCTGAAATAGTTTTGTAAAATGTTACTGAACTGAGATAAGAATCTGACTTTCTCTATCCGTAGATTAATTTAACCAGTCATGTTATCATTATCACTCACATGACCCGTTGATGCCATTTTTAAAAGTGTATGCAAGAAAAAAATCTTGACAACCATGTAAATCAATCTGCTGATATATACCTAACCAAACGCCCATTATATGCATTTTGTAATCTTTTTTAAGAAATGAATAAGACAGTTATTTCAGAATGGTAGATATTTTGCAGTCAAGAGGCGTAATATAGCGGTCGAAGTCACTGTAACGAAGGTGAATTTGAGCTGCCAAAGTACTCTTTAGTGTTCTGAATGCATACAAAAGTTGTGAATTAACGAACTATTATCTCACGTTTTATTTCACCCATGCTAGGATTTTAGCAGCCGGTAGGTGGGAATAGCTCTCGGCGTCAATCAAATGCGTTATATTGTGTGCAATTTGACAATGAGATCCAATCACCAGGTTTCTTGACCGTTAAGTTTTGTAAAAGTTTTCGCTACAGAGAATTACGCTTTACCGATGAGCGTCAAAAAAAACATTACGAGTCCTTAAAAACCAAGAGTTGATAAGTACAGCATCTCACAGAGTTGCATACAATTTTAGCTTACCGTCTTCAACCGACTGTTAGTAAGCCTCAAATCAACTCATCTACCCTCAGTACGATGCTACAATCAGAAAGATTGGGCAACGAGCCTTAATTTACTTTAATGAAACGCTTAAAATGACTTGAGAAAATGGGAAATTTTGGATAATCATTGTAATCTCGAATACTACTCTCGGATACATCATAAGACCGAAATTTCCCATTGTGCTTGTTACCTGTGTCTGCCCCTTGTTTCTGTCGAATACTACACGTTAACTCATATATGTGGTTTCAATGCAGTCAAAAGTGTGGAACTTCTAGTCGAAATGAGAATCCCGACAACAATAGGGTAATTAGTCAAGTTTTCAATTTGAATAGAAGGATTAGGAGTTACATGCGAGCAATGCATTAGTGTAGGGCGGTATAAGATGCAGTTGTTTGCATTAACGTAATTTTGGCCTTTAATAACTACCCTATAAGACTAGTAATGTACGTTCTCATTTAAAGTTGTCACGGTTCCTGTAAAAGCATTTTAATCAGAGCGAATTTCTTTCCTTACGAACTTTTGATTTGAATTTCATATTCACAAGACAGTCAAGCGACGTGAGAAATTCGTTGGTTGGGTAGTAGGTGATAGATGTGCGTTCACACACCATTCATTCACTGACGATCATGGCGATAATATATTCGAGGTTTACCGATTATATATCCATTGAACTGACTTCACCACCGGACATTCATGTACTATCCTTCCCTTTAGTAGAAGAACTCACCGCAATAATGTGGTGAGGCCATAAACGCTCGACCATGTAAGCGTATTTTATGGGAAATGGCTGCGCCGATCAAGTAAAAAAGAATATTACAGCTCAACTCAGGTCGTGTTGTTATTGTTATGGACTCATGCGTAGATCATATTTAGTCATGTTTTAAGAAAATGAAGATGGTAAAGGAAGGAAAATAGGCCTCGGAACGTAGTGATAGCCTCGGTGACGAAATGAATTATAGATGTTAGTCGTTTATTACAATAGTTTCATTGTCGGTTAGTCATCTGTTATTACTTATTCCAATCGTTAGTTGGCTTGCGTTTTTTTTTTCTGGACTGACGAACCTAGTATTAGCTAATTTAATTAAATTTTTCAGCATTTCATTGTTTACAAATAAGGCTCTGTTGTTGAGAGTATTTTTTTTTTCAAAGATATTGATTTGTTATGCGTTTGAGCTTGACGGAACTGTAGAAAAGTTTTTTGTTTTTGTGTTTAACAAGTGAATGAAGCTTAAGTTTTGTCAAATTAAGTAACGCTCATGTTAATTTCCAAGTGATAGATTGAGTTAGGTAAATGTAACAATGAAAACTTCTTCTAATGATCTACTAAATTCTCTGTTGTATATCGTTTTGTGGAATAACCTGTTTGTCTTGAGTTGTGAAGAAAAAGTGGTATATAAGTTGAGTGAAATAACGCCGGGAAATAAAGTTACTCGACTGAATATCATATTAGGAATATTTCAGGAAGATAGTTGGACACTTGATGATTATGATTCAATGCCGCTTTATATTCAGGTATTTTATTCTTTGTAAATGGTTTTACCTTACATGAAACGTATATAGGTTAGTTAAATCGCAACATTATGGGAAAAGTAGTTGTGGTTGATAGGGGTTTACCGAAACTGGTTGTTTAGTAGTAGTTGTTTTATAAGTATGATATAGCTTGTAACAATAGCTTGTTGAAATAACTGTTATTTAATGTATTCTGTACATTTCTACTGTTTGAAAATGAATACAGACTAGACGCGAAGAAATGTTGCGCAAAATAATTGAATATTCTCAAATTTTGTACTTGATTTAAGTCTAATTGTAATAATTTGCACTTGTTTATGATCGGTTATTTATGTATTGTTAAAAGAAAACAAGAATTTAAGGCTTCTAGTATATTGATTATTGTTTGGTTAATCAACTGCCACGTGCAAGATTTCGTTCTGAGGTGCAAAGAAAGCGGAGTGACACTAATTTTGACTAATGGATGTTAAGTTGTTGCATAAGTGATGGTTTATAACTGGTTGGTCATGGACCGTTATTATTATTGATATTAAAATATTAAGTAACTTAGTTATTGAGAATTATGAAGCATGTAGAAATATGTATTTTGTATGTTATTACTTTAGTGAGTTCATTTAATGCGAATTCGCTAAAGCAGTTTAGGTTTGTGCAAGGGCTTTCTATGCCACGAATCATGGATTAAATGACAATACTCATATTACTAAAAGTGTTAATCATCTGATCAGGCTGATTGAAATGGGTCAGATCTCAGATGAGTGGTCGGTGACTGAGAAAGTGTTGGGCGGTAGAAATTGCTGTCGCAACAGTTATTGCATAAAAAAATAAGCACAAAAGAGTTGAACTCTAGAATAATACATATATAACAAATAGCAGATGAATGAGGGAAATTAAAGAGAGTCACAGACTTGATACCAGGAATTCAACTGAAAATCCATTGATGTTCAGCAAATAGTGTAGTGGAGATTATGCGTTAAAATCAGGATAAACCCTATTGATCTAAGCGGGATATTATTTAGAGTACAGTGAAAGCAAAGAATTAACCACAACACATAGGGTAAACAGTGTTAAAATGAGTAATCTCGTTGTGTGTGTGTGTGTGAACCATGACTGCAAAGTTGGAGTTGACTCAACTCAAGTGATTTGACAAAACCACCTGAGAATTTTGTAGCGGTTCATGTCATTTGCATAATTTATGAATTTGTCGTGAAATTATGCACCATGAAAACGAGATATTTACATATGTAGACAAACCTTCTCCAGTTAATAAACAGATCAGTAAGATGATATTTAATAATAGATTGATTTGTGAGTTGACGAACTATTGACTAACTTATCAATGTAAGTGGGAATAGCCGACAAGTTTTAATTCGAGTGGTGATTATCTATGTGGAATTGACAATTAGAATCGTAGTGATTATTTTCAGCGTCTGGTCATGTCCACTATGTTCTGGAGGTCTTCATATTATATGTAGTTGAGTGGTGGTTGTACAAGTTAGGGATTTGTGAACGATGCTGTTTAATATGGAGCTGTGGATTTTCAATGACGACGCTAAATGTTATGTACACATAAGTTGAACTGATGGGTAATCTATTTGTCAGTGAGAATCGATTGAATTCATCACTTACGACTTGAACATAAAGTGTCATATGTGGTTAATAGATGATGATGATGTTGGTGATGAGTGAATGAAGTTAATTTTTTGAAGTGGTATTGAGTTATTTATTGGGGAAGTGTTGAGTTTCACACTGCATATACATTTAATACGAAACAGTTAAAGTAGGATATGAATAAAGAAAGTGTAGTAGGCGAGTTAATGTCAATGAAGTAGGCACGTTATTTTTATTAAGATAGTAGTGCCTGTTCATGAATGGATATCCCCAATATTGTTGGTTATAAGAGTGCATTGTTTAGTTCACAACTTCTGACTGGTCTGACCTAATTGTGCTATTTCGGTTAAATGACAAATGATCTTACTCTGTCTAATTATGTAACTGTTTGAGAATAGTTTTCGTGATGTACCTGCTAACTTTGGAGAGTAGATTGTCGTTCTGATTGATTAGCATTACGCGCATTGCTGATAGATAATGCAAAATAAGCACCTAGGATAAGTCCGAGTATTCAGTTCATCAATAAGAACTGTCCTGATAATCATAAGCGGATATATAAGATTGTAAACAGCTCCGTATTAACCGTGATGCTGCATCAATCAGAATACGGTCGTGACAGGTAACTGTGATGCTAGAGTTACAATGATATTTTTCCATGCAGATATAACAATCATGTTTAATTATGAATGATCCTCTAGTAGGGATTTGACAAACGGTATCCATTGCTACGCAACCCGTTTGGCACTATCTAAACACAAGAGTGTGTAGTTGCAAATGGAGATATTATATATGGAAGTGTATGTATGAAGTGCTAAACTCCAATGATTATTATTATTGTTGTTATTATTGCTATTCTCATTTCTTTCTCTTGTTCAAAATGTAATTCGATTGAGTTTGATAGAAGTTACTTGAAAGTGTTTAATCGATGTGACAGCACAAAAGTTTGTCGATGACTGAACGTTCAGTGGATGATTAAAATTTCTATTATTAGAAGAGATGGACAACAGTTTTGCGATAGTGCGATGAGGCGATGCTTCATATGAGGTTGTGATTATTAGGTGATGACTTCATTTTAACAGTATATTTGGTTGATGAGCTGGTTGGGATAGTAAAGGATTGTTGTGGAACATTGTGGATTGATATTAATTTAGCATTTCATCATGTGAAAGATGGTAGATATGAGAACGAGAGAGTTGGGGTTTTTGAGTAACGCATTAAGTTGAGATTGCTTATCATTTTGTGGAAAACATGGAGAGGAAAGTGAAATGAATAGGTTATTTAGGAGCCCTATTGTTTTTGGTATGTAGTGCTGCTGAAGTTTGAGTGTTTCAGGTTTGATAGAGTATAATTAGATTATTTTAGACCAATAATTGGATATAGGTGGCCAGAGTGTGTATTCCTGGGAGATTGACCCCAGTAGTTTTTATTCCAATGTAACATGTCACTTAAGATTACAATGCAAAGACCAATTTCTCTTCTGTCTGTTACTACTCTAGTTTCGTGGACATCGACCGAGGGACCTTATGGCTTGTGGTGTTCTTTCAGCATGGATTCCTCACTATATTTCGTTTCAATTGGAACTGAATCAATTCGTGTATTTTTGTGAAGCAGTAGTCACAGTGTGTAGTTGACAGACTCTAAATCAGCCTATTACCAATTCTTCAGTCCAATGTGTCTTTTGTGTACAAACCTATTCGATCGAAAAAGAGCTTTTTTACTATAGTTGCTCTATGACTTTTCTACTCGTTTGACCTGTTGTTACCGTTGCCGTTATGTGATCGGGTTTTCCTATTTGGCTCTAAAATAAATTCGGTTTGTCTGTAGTTTTATTTGTGTTGAACGAGTGGATTGTAGGGGTGTTTATATTTGGATTTAGGGTTGAAATGGTAATGAAGCAGCATATTTAGTGAGAATAGAATACTTTTGCGTACACTGAATTGATGGAGGTTGTATAGATTTCAGTGAATGTTTCGTATGTTTCTTGACTTGACATTGATGGTTTTTATAAAAGTAACAGTTGATGGTTTTTTTCTCTTATTATTTGTACATAGCGTAACTACAATAATACAATATCCTATTAGGCTCAGTAAGATCGTTGAGCTTTTTTTATCGACTTTGGAACTTCTAGTCGAAATGAGAATTCCGACAACAATAGGGTAATTAGTCAAGTTTTCAATTTGAATAGAAGGATTAGGAGTTACGTGCGAGCAATGCATTAGTGTAGGGCGGTATAAGATGCAGTTGTTTGCATTAACGTAATTTTGGCCTTTAATAACTACCCTATAAGACTAGTAATGTACGTTCTCATTTAAAGTTGTCACGGTTCCTGTAAAAGCATTTTAATCAGAGCGAATTTCTTTCCTTACGAACTTTTGATTTGAATTTCATATTCACAAGACAGTCAAGCGACGTGAGAAATTCGTTGGTTGGGTAGTAGGTGATAGATGTGCGTTCACACACCATTCATTCACTGACGATCATGGCGATAATATATTCGAGGTTTACCGATTATATATCCATTGAACTGACTTCACCACCGGACATTCATGTACTATCCTTCCCTTTAGTAGAAGAACTCACCACAATAATGTGGTGAGGCCATAAACGCTCGACCATGTAAGCGTATTTTATGGGAAATGGCTGCGCCGATCAAGTAAAAAAGAATATTACAGCTCAACTCAGGTCGTGTTGTTATTGTTATGGACTCATGCGTAGATCATATTTAGTCATGTTTTAAGAAAATGAAGATGGTAAAGGAAGGAAAATAGGCCTCGGAACGTAGTGATAGCCTCGGTGACGAAATGAATTATAGATGTTAGTCGTTTATTACAATAGTTTCATTGTCGGTTAGTCATCTGTTATTACTTATTCCAATCGTTAGTTGGCTTGCGTTTTTTTTTTCTGGACTGACGAACCTAGTATTAGCTAATTTAATTAAATTTTTCAGCATTTCATTGTTTACAAATAAGGCTCTGTTGTTGAGAGTATTTTTTTTTCAAAGATATTGATTTGTTATGCGTTTGAGCTTGACCGAACTGTAGAAAAGTTTTTTGTTTTTGTGTTTAACAAGTGAATGAAGCTTAAGTTTTGTCAAATTAAGTAACGCTCATGTTAATTTCCAAGTGATAGATTGAGTTAGGTAAATGTAACAATGAAAACTTCTTCTAATGATCTACTAAATTCTCTGTTGTATATCGTTTTGTGGAATAACCTGTTTGTCTTGAGTTGTGAAGGAAAAGTGGTATATAAGTTGAGTGAAATAACGCCGGGAAATAAAGTTACTCGACTGAATATCATATTAGGAATATTTCAGGAAGATAGTTGGACACTTGATGATTATGATTCAATGCCGCTTTATATTCAGGTATTTTATTCTTTGTAAATGGTTTTACCTTACATGAAACGTATATAGGTTAGTTAAATCGCAACATTATGGGAAAAGTAGTTGTGGTTGATAGGGGTTTACCGAAACTGGTTGTTTAGTAGTAGTTGTTTTATAAGTATGATATAGCTTGTAACAATAGCTTGTTGAAATAACTGTTATTTAATGTATTCTGTACATTTCTACTGTTTGAAAATGAATACAGACTAGACGCGAAGAAATGTTGCGCAAAATAATTGAATATTCTCAAATTTTGTACTTGATTTAAGTCTAATTGTAATAATTTGCACTTGTTTATGATCGGTTATTTATGTATTGTTAAAAGAAAACAAGAATTTAAGGCTTCTAGTATATTGATTATTGTTTGGTTAATCAACTGCCACGTGCAAGATTTCGTTCTGAGGTGCAAAGAAAGCGGAGTGACACTAATTTTGACTAATGGATGTTAAGTTGTTGCATAAGTGATGGTTTATAACTGGTTGGTCATGGACCGTTATTATTATTGATATTAAAATATTAAGTAACTTAGTTATTGAGAATTATGAAGCATGTAGAAATATGTATTTTGTATGTTATTACTTTAGTGAGTTCATTTAATGCGAATTCGCTAAAGCAGTTTAGGTTTGTGCAAGGGCTTTCTATGCCACGAATCATGGATTAAATGACAATACTCATATTACTAAAAGTGTTAATCATCTGATCAGGCTGATTGAAATGGGTCAGATCTCAGATGAGTGGTCGGTGACTGAGAAAGTGTTGGGCGGTAGAAATTGCTGTCGCAACAGTTATTGCATAAAAAAATAAGCACAAAAGAGTTGAACTCTAGAATAATACATATATAACAAATAGCAGATGAATGAGGGAAATTAAAGAGAGTCACAGACTTGATACCAGGAATTCAACTGAAAATCCATTGATGTTCAGCAAATAGTGTAGTGGAGATTATGCGTTAAAATCAGGATAAACCCTATTGATCTAAGCGGGATATTATTTAGAGTACAGTGAAAGCAAAGAATTAACCACAACACATAGGGTAAACAGTGTTAAAATGAGTAATCTCGTTGTGTGTGTGTGTGTGAACCATGACTGCAAAGTTGGAGTTGACTCAACTCAAGTGATTTGACAAAACCACCTGAGAATTTTGTAGCGGTTCATGTCATTTGCATAATTTATGAATTTGTCGTGAAATTATGCACCATGAAAACGAGATATTTACATATGTAGACAAACCTTCTCCAGTTAATAAACAGATCAGTAAGATGATATTTAATAATAGATTGATTTGTGAGTTGACGAACTATTGACTAACTTATCAATGTAAGTGGGAATAGCCGACAAGTTTTAATTCGAGTGGTGATTATCTATGTGGAATTGACAATTAGAATCGTAGTGATTATTTTCAGCGTCTGGTCATGTCCACTATGTTCTGGAGGTCTTCATATTATATGTAGTTGAGTGGTGGTTGTACAAGTTAGGGATTTGTGAACGATGCTGTTTAATATGGAGCTGTGGATTTTCAATGACGACGCTAAATGTTATGTACACATAAGTTGAACTGATGGGTAATCTATTTGTCAGTGAGAATCGATTGAATTCATCACTTACGACTTGAACATAAAGTGTCATATGTGGTTAATAGATGATGATGATGTTGGTGATGAGTGAATGAAGTTAATTTTTTGAAGTGGTATTGAGTTATTTATTGGGGAAGTGTTGAGTTTCACACTGCATATACATTTAATACGAAACAGTTAAAAGTAGGATATGAATAAAGAAAGTGTAGTAGGCGAGTTAATGTCAATGAAGTAGGCACGTTATTTTTATTAAGATAGTAGTGCCTGTTCATGAATGGATATCCCCAATATTGTTGGTTATAAGAGTGCATTGTTTAGTTCACAACTTCTGACTGGTCTGACCTAATTGTGCTATTTCGGTTAAATGACAAATGATCTTACTCTGTCTAATTATGTAACTGTTTGAGAATAGTTTTCGTGATGTACCTGCTAACTTTGGAGAGTAGATTGTCGTTCTGATTGATTAGCATTACGCGCATTGCTGATAGATAATGCAAAATAAGCACCTAGGATAAGTCCGAGTATTCAGTTCATCAATAAGAACTGTCCTGATAATCATAAGCGGATATATAAGATTGTAAACAGCTCCGTATTAACCGTGATGCTGCATCAATCAGAATACGGTCGTGACAGGTAACTGTGATGCTAGAGTTACAATGATATTTTTCCATGCAGATATAACAATCATGTTTAATTATGAATGATCCTCTAGTAGGGATTTGACAAACGGTATCCATTGCTACGCAACCCGTTTGGCACTATCTAAACACAAGAGTGTGTAGTTGCAAATGGAGATATTATATATGGAAGTGTATGTATGAAGTGCTAAACTCCAATGATTATTATTATTGTTGTTATTATTGCTATTCTCATTTCTTTCTCTTGTTCAAAATGTAATTCGATTGAGTTTGATAGAAGTTACTTGAAAGTGTTTAATCGATGTGACAGCACAAAAGTTTGTCGATGACTGAACGTTCAGTGGATGATTAAAATTTCTATTATTAGAAGAGATGGACAACAGTTTTGCGATAGTGCGATGAGGCGATGCTTCATATGAGGTTGTGATTATTAGGTGATGACTTCATTTTAACAGTATATTTGGTTGATGAGCTGGTTGGGATAGTAAAGGATTGTTGTGGAACATTGTGGATTGATATTAATTTAGCATTTCATCATGTGAAAGATGGTAGATATGAGAACGAGAGAGTTGGGGTTTTTGAGTAACGCATTAAGTGAGATTGCTTATCATTTTGTGGAAAACATGGAGAGGAAAGTGAAATGAATAGGTTATTTAGGAGCCCTATTGTTTTTGGTATGTAGTGCTGCTGAAGTTTGAGTGTTTCAGGTTTGATAGAGTATAATTAGATTATTTTAGACCAATAATTGGATATAGGTGGCCAGAGTGTGTATTCCTGGGAGATTGACCCCAGTAGTTTTTATTCCAATGTAACATGTCACTTAAGATTACAATGCAAAGACCAATTTCTCTTCTGTCTGTTACTACTCTAGTTTCGTGGACATCGACCGAGGGACCTTATGGCTTGTGGTGTTCTTTCAGCATGGATTCCTCACTATATTTCGTTTCAATTGGAACTGAATCAATTCGTGTATTTTTGTGAAGCAGTAGTCACAGTGTGTAGTTGACAGACTCTAAATCAGCCTATTACCAATTCTTCAGTCCAATGTGTCTTTTGTGTACAAACCTATTCGATCGAAAAAGAGCTTTTTTACTATAGTTGCTCTATGACTTTTCTACTCGTTTGACCTGTTGTTACCGTTGCCGTTATGTGATCGGGTTTTCCTATTTGGCTCTAAAATAAATTCGGTTTGTCTGTAGTTTTATTTGTGTTGAACGAGTGGATTGTAGGGGTGTTTATATTTGGATTTAGGGTTGAAATGGTAATGAAGCAGCATATTTAGTGAGAATAGAATACTTTTGCGTACACTGAATTGATGGAGGTTGTATAGATTTCAGTGAATGTTTCGTATGTTTCTTGACTTGACATTGATGGTTTTTATAAAAGTAACAGTTGATGGTTTTTTTCTCTTATTATTTGTACATAGCGTAACTACAATAATACAATATCCTATTAGGCTCAGTAAGATCGTTGAGCTTTTTTTATCGACTTTGGAACTTCTAGTCGAAATGAGAATTCCGACAACAATAGGGTAATTAGTCAAGTTTTCAATTTGAATAGAAGGATTAGGAGTTACGTGCGAGCAATGCATTAGTGTAGGGCGGTATAAGATGCAGTTGTTTGCATTAACGTAATTTTGGCCTTTAATAACTACCCTATAAGACTAGTAATGTACGTTCTCATTTAAAGTTGTCACGGTTCCTGTAAAAGCATTTTAATCAGAGCGAATTTCTTTCCTTACGAACTTTTGATTTGAATTTCATATTCACAAGACAGTCAAGCGACGTGAGAAATTCGTTGGTTGGGTAGTAGGTGATAGATGTGCGTTCACACACCATTCATTCACTGACGATCATGGCGATAATATATTCGAGGTTTACCGATTATATATCCATTGAACTGACTTCACCACCGGACATTCATGTACTATCCTTCCCTTTAGTAGAAGAACTCACCGCAATAATGTGGTGAGGCCATAAACGCTCGACCATGTAAGCGTATTTTATGGGAAATGGCTGCGCCGATCAAGTAAAAAAGAATATTACAGCTCAACTCAGGTCGTGTTGTTATTGTTATGGACTCATGCGTAGATCATATTTAGTCATGTTTTAAGAAAATGAAGATGGTAAAGGAAGGAAAATAGGCCTCGGAACGTAGTGATAGCCTCGGTGACGAAATGAATTATAGATGTTAGTCGTTTATTACAATAGTTTCATTGTCGGTTAGTCATCTGTTATTACTTATTCCAATCGTTAGTTGGCTTGCGTTTTTTTTTTTCTGGACTGACGAACCTAGTATTAGCTAATTTAATTAAATTTTTCAGCATTTCATTGTTTACAAATAAGGCTCTGTTGTTGAGAGTATTTTTTTTTCAAAGATATTGATTTGTTATGCGTTTGAGCTTGACCGAACTGTAGAAAAGTTTTTTGTTTTTGTGTTTAACAAGTGAATGAAGCTTAAGTTTTGTCAAATTAAGTAACGCTCATGTTAATTTCCAAGTGATAGATTGAGTTAGGTAAATGTAACAATGAAAACTTCTTCTAATGATCTACTAAATTCTCTGTTGTATATCGTTTTGTGGAATAACCTGTTTGTCTTGAGTTGTGAAGGAAAAGTGGTATATAAGTTGAGTGAAATAACGCCGGGAAATAAAGTTACTCGACTGAATATCATATTAGGAATATTTCAGGAAGATAGTTGGACACTTGATGATTATGATTCAATGCCGCTTTATATTCAGGTATTTTATTCTTTGTAAATGGTTTTACCTTACATGAAACGTATATAGGTTAGTTAAATCGCAACATTATGGGAAAAGTAGTTGTGGTTGATAGGGGTTTACCGAAACTGGTTGTTTAGTAGTAGTTGTTTTATAAGTATGATATAGCTTGTAACAATAGCTTGTTGAAATAACTGTTATTTAATGTATTCTGTACATTTCTACTGTTTGAAAATGAATACAGACTAGACGCGAAGAAATGTTGCGCAAAATAATTGAATATTCTCAAATTTTGTACTTGATTTAAGTCTAATTGTAATAATTTGCACTTGTTTATGATCGGTTATTTATGTATTGTTAAAAGAAAACAAGAATTTAAGGCTTCTAGTATATTGATTATTGTTTGGTTAATCAACTGCCACGTGCAAGATTTCGTTCTGAGGTGCAAAGAAAGCGGAGTGACACTAATTTTGACTAATGGATGTTAAGTTGTTGCATAAGTGATGGTTTATAACTGGTTGGTCATGGACCGTTATTATTATTGATATTAAAATATTAAGTAACTTAGTTATTGAGAATTATGAAGCATGTAGAAATATGTATTTTGTATGTTATTACTTTAGTGAGTTCATTTAATGCGAATTCGCTAAAGCAGTTTAGGTTTGTGCAAGGGCTTTCTATGCCACGAATCATGGATTAAATGACAATACTCATATTACTAAAAGTGTTAATCATCTGATCAGGCTGATTGAAATGGGTCAGATCTCAGATGAGTGGTCGGTGACTGAGAAAGTGTTGGGCGGTAGAAATTGCTGTCGCAACAGTTATTGCATAAAAAAATAAGCACAAAAGAGTTGAACTCTAGAATAATACATATATAACAAATAGCAGATGAATGAGGGAAATTAAAGAGAGTCACAGACTTGATACCAGGAATTCAACTGAAAATCCATTGATGTTCAGCAAATAGTGTAGTGGAGATTATGCGTTAAAATCAGGATAAACCCTATTGATCTAAGCGGGATATTATTTAGAGTACAGTGAAAGCAAAGAATTAACCACAACACATAGGGTAAACAGTGTTAAAATGAGTAATCTCGTTGTGTGTGTGTGTGTGTGTGTGAACCATGACTGCAAAGTTGGAGTTGACTCAACTCAAGTGATTTGACAAAACCACCTGAGAATTTTGTAGCGGTTCATGTCATTTGCATAATTTATGAATTTGTCGTGAAATTATGCACCATGAAAACGAGATATTTACATATGTAGACAAACCTTCTCCAGTTAATAAACAGATCAGTAAGATGATATTTAATAATAGATTGATTTGTGAGTTGACGAACTATTGACTAACTTATCAATGTAAGTGGGAATAGCCGACAAGTTTTAATTCGAGTGGTGATTATCTATGTGGAATTGACAATTAGAATCGTAGTGATTATTTTCAGCGTCTGGTCATGTCCACTATGTTCTGGAGGTCTTCATATTATATGTAGTTGAGTGGTGGTTGTACAAGTTAGGGATTTGTGAACGATGATGTTTAATATGGAGCTGTGGATTTTCAATGACGACGCTAAATGTTATGTACACATAAGTTGAACTGATGGGTAATCTATTTGTCAGTGAGAATCGATTGAATTCATCACTTACGACTTGAACATAAAGTGTCATATGTGGTTAATAGATGATGATGATGATGTTGGTGATGAGTGAATGAAGTTAATTTTTTGAAGTGGTATTGAGTTATTTATTGGGGAAGTGTTGAGTTTCACACTGCATATACATTTAATACGAAACAGTTAAAAGTAGGTTATGAATAAAGAAAATGTAGTAGGCGAGTTAATGTCAATGAAGTAGGCACGTTATTTTTATTAAGATAGTAGTGCCTCTTTATAAATGGCTATCCCTAGTATTATGATTTTATATAAATGGTTTTTTCATTTTTTCGTTACTCTGTGAATTTTTCTTTGCTTTTCATGTCTCTGTTTTTATTGTTTTGATTATATGTATTTGTAATTTTATAATATTCATTAGTTCCTATTTCTTTATATGATCCCGATTGTTGAGTTTAAGTATCACTAGTTGTTTCTCTTATTTCTTTTTGTTTTGTTTTTCTATTTTTTTCTTTTTGCTGATATCGTTTTTTCTGTGTATTCTTACTACTATATGCGAGAATCACTAATTGTTCTAATGAGTGTAATATTGATTGTGTATCTGTTTTGGTTTCTAACCTTCGAATTTTTAATTACCCCTTATGAATATTTACAATTCAGTTATATCATACCTTTTTATTTGTTATTTACTTTATATTTTTCGGATGTTTTACATGTAGATTATTATCATTGTGCTAGTTTTCTATTACACTTATGTAACAATCTTTAAGGTAATAGTAAATCATTGTTTATTCATAGTTTTGAACATCATTTTTGCCTTATGTGTATTGTGATAGTCTTGAATAGCTCCTCTGGTTTCGACTGTTGGTTTTCAGTTCTTTCTTGTTTTCTTCTGCAGTTCTCATCAGTTGATCATGTTTCATAGTTTCAGAATGGTTTTCAGTGACTTATTTTGTGTGTGTGTTTTTTCTCTACCTGAATCATTTTCAAATCTCATCTTATTAGGAATATGTTGTACAGTTCAATATTATCTACGCCTTTGTTAAATCGTTTTATGATTTAAATGTTACTTATCATTTAAAATAGAGTTTTAATGTAAGAATGAGTACTTAGATGCTGTAAAAGTTCTCGATGAATATCTCAGCTCCAAGTGTTGAACATTCCTGAAACTGACATTACATAGTTCATCTTGAGTTAAATTACTCCACTTATGCTAGATGTATAAGAGTTATTAAGCTGATATATTCATATATGTTGATTGTTAAATAATGCGAAAACAATTCTAATTTGTGTATTTATCGATAGGTTTACGTTATTGTGATTCAATAATTATCCATCACGTTGATTGATACGAAATGTTTAGATTTAGTGCGAGTATGACTTTAATTAAATATGACCTAGAGGTTAAGCGTTCGAGCACGAGATGGAGAGGTCCTGTGTTCGAATCTCATGGGACGGGATCGTGGATGCGGACTGCTGAGGAGTCCTATAATAGGACGAAACGGCCGTTCAGTGCTTTTAGGTTTTCCATGGTGATCTTAGCTTCAATTGACTCATGATTTCAACTATTGAAAATAAAATTATTTCATAAAAATGTATCTCAAATAAAACTAGACAATATAGATTACTGAATGACTGTAGTTATCATGTCTGTGTTCAACTTATCTTGTTATGGAAATGTGAATTCTAATAATTGGAAACGAATTATTCACTTTTGTTACATCATACGTATTCTCAAATGAAAGAAGAACATCTATTTGAATCAACACAAGATAACATCATTTAAGAATAATAAACAGAATCAACAAAGGTTATTGTAGTCAGAAAATTCATCCGTTCATCATATTGTCCATAACCTTATCAAACAATCAACCAACTATGTTAATGAACGAAATAAACAATTTTCATATCATAGTTTTGTCAATGTTAATCCTGTTTTATTAGGCTGATGCAGAAACCAATAAGTTACGAGGAACACTAGAACTTTTTCGTTTTGGCCAATAAAGTCTTCTAGTTGCCATTGGACCAAAAGTTTCAAAATTCAATAGACGTTCTCTTTTAGATGATGAAGCTCGAGTGATTCGAGTCATGATACCGTTTGCATTAGATTTTTTTCCAGATGTTGATAAACCAATATCATAATGGCTGCTCGTTGATTGCTTATATTTTCTCCGTCCACTCTGAAGGTCGGTAAGGCCTCTTGGTCGTCCATCTGATCTACTTATCTGATCGTAAAAGCATTTTTCTCGAACGTAGTATTCACCTCTGAAATTGGAACAAATATGTACTGATTTTAAAATGAATTCATCGACACCTCAAAATACGCAAAGTTATATCTAATTTAAGATCTATGATTAAGTTTCTTCAAATCAAAGGAGTATTCCACAAATAAATTAACTACATTTAAATCATAACAATTCCATCGTTTAACTAATCATATGTTAGATTAAATGTAGATACAATGACTAGCAGCTATATGAATCTGAAATTAATCGTTTAGTATGTAGTTCCATTCATATTAATCATATTTACTTCTTAGCACTATTATTCAACATGTGTAATATCTAATGTATTCGATAATTCTAGTTCTAACTGTTCCATACAGTTTAGTTATCATTTCTGTTCTGTGTACTGTATATCTGTATTAAAAGATTACCTCGAAACATTACACATAGTATTAAAGAAGTTATGTTCCCAACTCTTGTAATTTGTTCATTTAAGGTTGTATATTTTTTTTTAAAAAAGTCATCGAACTACATATTATGAACGATGAACATCATTAACGGATTAGAATGGGGTAAAACAAGTATGTTATTTTAACCATAAAGACGATGAAATATGTACTGAGATGGGAGGGAATCTAGTGTAGATATTCGTCTAAGGTAAATTAACTTCCCATACGTCTAAACAAGGAAAACCAACCGTTATAACATAATGCCGTTCAATGTATTTATTCTATTACATTTCAGCCTAGTGATTGTTTCTTATTTCTGACATGTCACTTCCCATCTCATGATAATAGCATATATATATATATATATATATATATATATATACTAAACGTTTTACAATCAACAACTTTTAACGATGCATAAAACTAAAGTTTCTAGAAATATCTTTGGGGAGAGATTTATAGATTACTAATATCATTCTTCGCGTACACCAGTGAGTAGTAACTAACTGAAATTTTGTACTGGATACTTTTTGGTTCATTGTAACTTATTGAACGGTATCCAATAAGTTCTAAACATTTTTGTAATAAGATTTAAGATGAATATGCCAGGGAAGTCCTACTCACTGCCTTATCGTGGCATTACTGTTGTTTACGAAATTGAGAGGACAAAAAGCGAATATCCGGCGTTTTAACCGGGTTGATGGACATGGAGCATCCACCTAGGGAAGTTGGGAAACCCTCATTCCAAACCATTGGTGCACATGGACCCCAGTATCCTGAAGGAACAAATGGCGTATGAACCTATTGTTAGTCACCGGCTACTAATGTGACTGCACCTTCTAACGTTGGTCCACTGCCTTGTGGATTAGACCTCTAGGTCAAGGGCTCGGGAAGTGGCCTCCTAAGTAAACTACCTACTTCGTTTTGAGTTCCTGGCCAGTATCTCAGCCCTCACACACTTATGTGGCACATATCTATTTGGTGCCTCTTTGTACCAATGTTTATATGTTTAAATAAAATAAATAAGATCAATAAGACTGCGAAACTATAAAGGCACATTGTCTTCAATCAGTTTCGCTGTTTCTTCCTTGAGTTCGTTAATTAGTTTTGAAGTATTTTCCAGTAGCCCCTTTCTTTGAGATACTTTTATTTTCGGTAATAACAAAGGACATAAAACTTATGCTCACTTATATTTCAGTGATTAAACTCACTTAGATAGAGTTTCCTTACTCTCAGATGAACGTTTGTTTTCAGAAATGAGAACGTTTGTGCTATTGGCCGTAGTAGAACTAACTACTCCTGAAGGGGATTCCCCAGATAAAGTATTGGGATTGGTTTGTAATCTCGAAGCGTTATTTGCTGCCGTCGACGGTATTGGCCGTTCGCCAACAGTTTGATCTACCTCCGAGTTCTCTTGACTCACTGAATCTTCATCCGTATTCAAGTTCATTTTAGCCAACTCGGCTTCTAGTTCAGCATTTGCCATTTCAAAATCATATGGTTTAGTACAATCTATTTCTTCTTTCAATTAGAAAAAAATAGAAATGAGTAAAGCAATATTTTCCAACTTCACCGCGTAGACTGACAGACATCATATACATAGTACCTGTCATAGGTGTGTTGACCCATTTCGTTATACCAAATAAGCTCGACGAGATAAAGATAACTAAGGAGATCGCAATAATTTAGTAGCATTAATAAAAAGTAAGACCCAACCTTCAGAATGTTTTACAAGTCAGCAGAAAAGAATATATGATGAAGTACTAGCATTTGTGATCAAGGAATGGATGAAAGGTAGACGTATCTGCGCGATTGTAAACGATTATTAGTCACTTTACCCAAAGTGTCCGACCATTAATCGTGGTTATCACGTGAACCCCAACCAGGTAGTCTACATCTAATTATATGACTAAGACCAATATTCAGTGACTTTATGAACTGATGCCGCGTTTTGGTTTGGTCATCCCCAGCCTTCCAATTTGTGTTTGTACTAGGACGCATCGCTCGTCAAGAAAGATGGTGGTTAGACACGCGTAACACATTTCGATATAGATTTACAATTTTATTAAATAATTTACCACCTTTTCCAAGAACCACGTGTATAACTTTAACATTACTCAATCTGTTGTGATATGTGCTACTGATGCTGACAGATATTAGTAGTATGTATCATCAATCGATGGTGGAATGCCTGACGGCAGAAAGTTGAGAAAATTGAAGAGAAGAGAACAAGGACAGAGAGTGATTGGTGATGGAAATGAAGGAACAACAAAGTAACAGACAATTGATGTATATTTTGAAAATGAAATATTTTCTGTGTGGTTCTCAGATTTTACCAAAATATTCCGTAATGTATTAAAATACGTTTGATTGTTTCCGCCTATGTTCTCGTTCACTACAATGCCTTTGAGATGCATATGATCGAAAAATCATCGGCTTACTCGTTCATTGGTCAATTTTGACGACGATAGAGCAGAAACAAGTGGTTTGCTGAGTCGTATACACGCCCGCTATTTGACGGACGAATATCTCACCTAAGCCACAAGTGATACAAGTTTGCAAACACCAATCAGGTTTTCTGAGTGCATGCCGAGATTTTGTTAGACAGCGATTTGATGTAGGAAACCATTTCATACTGTTAGTAATTTAATATTTTTGTTCAGACTAACCCTATTCACATAGAAATGCATTAAAAAGCTTAGACTACTAGCTATAATCATTTTCACTAAACCTGGTAGTCTATTATGTTGGCGGACAAGGTGGTATTTCGGTTCGAAAATATAAACTGTGGTTCAAACAGTCTTTTCTCAGTTCAACTAAGTAGGACCACTAATGTACTGCAGTTTTGGAATCATCTACCATAATTGGAAATTTAGCTAATCGTAAAGTACACAAGATTTTTAACTTACTTTCCGAAAATATTTAACTTACCAGATAGAACTTTGCGATTGTTTCTTGTTGATTTTCTTTCTGTCACCCGGCGTCTGGTTCCTCTAAACCGAGGGGTCATAAAATTGGTCGATCTTTGTTGCATAGTTGTCGCCATTTCAGGAGATAAATAAACATACATTCCATAAGGATTCACACTACTTTGGATATGTTGTCTGTAACCACTGTTTGGAATCCTCATAGGTCGATTTTGTTTTTTGTTAAAATATCGTAATCCCAAATGGCCAAATTTAGGTGGAATAGAATTACTCAGAAGTCTGAATGGTGGGTTTTGTACGGTCAGAGGATAACCAAACTTGTAAAAGTTTCCCGGATGTGGAACAACTTGAAACATAGGCATGTAATTCCTTTGCTTCAGTAAAGGTCTCACATTACGACTTCTACGAGAGTACGAATCCAGTATACGTGATTGATGTACGGTACGTTGATTTGATGAATCTCTACGACTATTCACAACTAATGAATCTCCAGTAGTTGACTTATTTTTAAATGAACTTATTCCCATGAGATGCCTTTGATCCCTAGGAGGATAACACTGTAAACGAGAATAAAGAAAATTCGCAAAGAAAAAATTTAATAATCTTATAATCAAATTGATCAATTTTTTTGTTTTTCTCAAATTTCAATGATTCTATATGACATAAAAGACAATAGTTTTATTGATTTTTAATCATCATAAATAGAATAGTCGATCATGTCTCATTTAGTTAATTATATTAACTGTAATTCATATTTGTTCATTAAATCAGTACTAAGAATATTGTCATTGTAGAATTTACATTGAGATTACATTATAGTCATTGAGCCCGATCGTCTTTTCTCAGTTCAACTAAATAGGACAACTAATGTACTGCAGTTATGAATGAATTCAGCTACTATAATAATTGGAGATTTAGCTAATCGTAAAGTACACAAGATTCGCTGACTGACTGACTGACTGATAGTCATAGAAACTAAATGTGCATTAATCGGATATCATTGTATCTGGGTACCTAATTGTATATACTTAAGTTTTTTTCATTTTAAATTTTACTAACTTCCAATGTATCATTAGATTTTAGTACAAATAAAAAAAATTTTTAATGCTCAGTTTTATTGAATTACCATATACAATTATACCTTATTATTGCTATTTCCACTTGCTGTAGTTAGTGGTGTTAAAGATGTAAAATGATAGTTACAGTAAGTATTAAAAAAAACCCATTTGAATGAGATGTTATGTCAGTCAATCAATCAGTTACAACGTAGGACCAAACACATATATGCATCGGTCCAAGTTGCCATTACCGCATTAGCACAGCAAGATGAACACCGGATTCATAGGAGTGGTTAGGTCAAAGGTGGTAATGTATAGAAGAAGGATTGCATATAAGGATATAGTACAGAAAGAAAGAATTAGTTGGTAGAAAGAAAGATATGAAGCGATTTTAATCTCTTAGTTTAAGGGAAGACAAAGAGTGTATACACCTACACCATTGTGATCGATTCTGAGTCATGTCACCCACAGTCACCAACCATTGGTTACAATAGTCACGTGGACCCCAACCAAGTAGTCTGCATCTACCAACATGGCTCACACTAGAAGTTAGTGACTTTGTGAACTGATGCCACGTTTTGGTTTGACCGCCCCTAACTTTCTCCAAACCATCTCCAACACTGGTCAGCATTGTAGTTGAAGGTTGAAGATAGGTAGGGATTTATACATCTATAGGATAAAAATATCAACAATTATATAAACTGTGAAGTATCAGTATAAGATTGTGGAGATTATTAAGGTTTTTGATCGAGATCATGAACCGATTGATGTTAGACCACCATTGAAAACCTGAAAGCAATGAACGGCCGTTTCGTCTTATTGCGGGGCTCCTGAGCAGTGAGTATCCACGATCCGGCTCGCGGCCGTCCAGTACTTCCAGGTTTTCGATAGTGGTCCAACATCAATCGATTCATGATCTCAATAAAAAACTGTGAAGTATTTGTTTTTCAATTAATTCAGTTGAAAGTCCTCATTTTGAAGCAAACTACTTATATTTTTAAAGATTATATATAGATTAACATGTCTTGTAAATCAAGATGTATAAAATCTTATAGTCTATGTTTTTCTAAGTTTTTCATGCATCCAGATCGCATAATTGTAAATTGGATCATCCTGTTGTGTATTGTAAACAAGGACAATCATGATATAAAGTAGCTTCATTTGTACACTCAGTTAATTGTTCTTTATACTTCATGTAAATATTTGAGGAAGAATACTTCTGATTAAAATGCTGCATAGTAATTCTTAAGCATGAGAATTCTGTACTCGTCAAGAGTAATTATATTCTATTTTATTCCAATCAGCCTTCAAATGCCCTGGTACGGTCGAGGATAGGGAGAATCAGCTTTCCCTATCGAAATGTTCTCACATGGCCACACGTATATAGCCACTGTCAGGGAAGTGCTGCTCAGTAGCTCCTCGCGCCATGAGTGTTGTTTACGAAATTGAGAGGACGAAAAGTGAATGTCCGGTGCCTTAACCGGGTTGGTGGACACAAAGGGTCCGCCTAGGGGAGATAGAAAACCCTCATCACAAACTATTGGTGCACATGGACTCCAGTATCCTGAAGGAACAAATGGCGTATGAACCAATCGTTTGTCACCAGCTACTTTGGGACTGCATCTCTTGACATTGCTCTACTGCCTTGTGGATTAGACCTCTAGGTCAATGTCTCGAGGAGGGGCCCCCTAAGGAACCCACTTGCTTCGGTTTGGGCACCCAAACAGTATCCCAGCCCACACACAAATCAAGTGACTTGTGTGGCGCATATCTTTTCGGTGCCCCTTCATACCAATATTTACGTGTTCAAGGAAATAAGTCTTTTAGGATACAATTCAAGTATTTGACTATGTTCATATGACCTTCATTGTTTGTATTTAGTTTACATTGTGTCTATATTTAAAATTGATCATTGGGTTTACTTTGCAATTTTGGTCTCTTTGTAAAACTCGTATATAATTCCGAAACGATAGATTATTCTTATGCTCAACTTGTCTTACACTTTTACCAAATCACTTTTTAAAACAGTAAATAGTATACTTTCAGAAGGGGTTTTTGTGGATATTATAGTAATTTCAATAGTTAAGATCATAAGTGAATTGAAGCTAGACCATTATGGAAAGCCTGGATGGCTGTTTCGTCCTACTGTAGGACTCTTCTAGTGCAGTGTGCATTCACGATCTCGCCTCGAGAGATTCGAACCCAGGACCTAGGATCAAACAGCCGTCCAATGCTTCCAGGTTTTCTGTGGTGATCTCACTTCAATTGATTCATGATCTCAGCTATTGAAATAACTATATTTTCAATTAGTGATATACTCAAATGTAGTTCATTTCAGTTATTTCATTCGTTCTGAATTCATCACAACTTTGTTCCCTGAATTGTTATGCTTAGCGTCAATATTTTTTTGTAATGAAAGTGGTTACAGTGCATATAAACACAATCTTGAGAATATCTTATGTAGATTACTGGTTATTTAGTATTAACAAATCTTTATCTTTATTGTGTTTCACTTCAATGGTTGTAATGTAATATGAACTAAAGTATTGATTCATTAACATGTACTTTACAATTGTATATTAATTTTAAAGTGGATCAATAAGAAGCAAATAACTATAGATTAAAGCCAGTCAGCTTCTCTCTTAAATATATATATATAGAAGGAGCTTACGAAATCTCAGCACGTATTCGAAAAGCTCGTTTGGATTTCGCCAACTTTCGTCACTTGCGGCGAAGGCGAGATATCCGTCTATCAATAAAAGGACGAGTATACTGCTCGGCAGTCCGTTCTGTTTTAATTTACGGCAGCGAAACATGGCCATTAAGAGTAAAAGACACTCGTAAGCTACTAGTATTTGACCACAGATGTCTTAGAGATATTGCTCACATCTGGTGGGATCACCGGGTAAGTAATAGTGAGGTTAGACTCAGGGTATTAGAGAATGATGATCGTAAATCAGTTGGTGAGGTTGTGAATCTTGATTGAGTGAGATGATTGGGCCACGTGTTACGTATGCCTGAACACCGATTACCACGACGCGCAATGCTAACCGGTGTTGACGATGGTTGGAAGAAATTTAGGGGCGGACAAACCAAAACGTGGCATCAGTACTTGAAGACACTAACTTCTAGTGTGAGTCATGTTGGTAGATGCAGACTACTTGGTTGGGGTCCACGTGACTATTGTAATTAATGGTTGGTGACATGGATCAGAATCGATCACAATGGCGTAGGCGTATACACTTTCTGCCTTCCCTTAAAATAAGAGTTTAAAATCATTTCATATCTTTCTTTCTACGAACTAATTCTTTCTTCCTGTTCTATATCCTTATATGCAATCCTTCTTCTATACATTACCACCTTTGACCTAACCACTGCTATGAATCCGGTGTCCATCTTGCTGTACTAATGAGGTATGGCAACTTGGACCGATGCATATATGTGTTTGGTCCTACGTTGTAGCTGACTGACTGATTACTATTCTTCACATATTTAAATTTCATTCCTATTTAGGTATCGTTATCAAGATCATCATCATCATTAAGTAGTCTTATTTATACAATTCGAATTATATTCATTTAACGTTTATAACTGATGTGTGGATGAGGCAGACAATGAATGTTTTTTTGTGCTTAGATGAGTTATATATTGTACTTATTGACTGTTGATTGTTGTCGGGTTTTTGGTGTAGAAATATATTGATATTCTAGTCCAGCTAATCACCTATTCTTCATCTGTGTTATAGAATAGACACACTAAGAGAGAGAATTTTATATCAATAGTTATCTAAAGTAAATGAACATTCCATTTGTAAAGACAAAATTGACCAATTTATAACAATCACTTACCAAACTAGTATGTTGTCTACGTTTCTCTTGATGACTTCTTATAGATAAATTTGTTTTAATCATAGTTTTATTGTTTAATTCAGATTTATTGAATGATTTCATTGGATTCAATGAATAAATTTGATGAATACTTGATATCCAAAATGTAATTGAATCAAATATTGTTCCAATTATTGGTATTTTATTATTTTTTTGATTTGGATCATAATTTGGATCATGATTCTCTTTATCATTATTTGGTGGTAGACGATTTTCATAACCAAAAAATTTCACATTTTTTAATATGATTGTATTATCAATTAAATTAATACCGGCTAATATTCCTTCATAACGATATTGAGCATTAGTAATTAATGATAATTTAATACCTAATTTTAAATTATTGAATTGATGATTTCGTTGCATCATAGTGATTATGAATAAGGATCCCTTTTTTGTTGGGATGATCGTCGTTTATTGTTTGGTGTTAGGGGATGATTGTTGTTTATTGTGAATTCGGATTGTTTATTGTTTGTTAGTTGATTTCTATTCAATTTGATGAATCAATTAAATTTTAAATGATTGATTTTTTCTTTGTTAATCAATATCAATGATTGATTGATTATATCATCCATTTAATGGAGAGAAAAAAAAATCAATAATGATAATAATAAAGTTTTATTTATATTGTATTTAATATAAAGCTTCTTTTTCAACAAAAAAAAATCAATAAATGAAATGATGTAATCTAGATGTATGATGATTTAACATTAATGAAATTAGGAGAATTTATTTTTGATTGAGATCATGAACCGATTGATGTTAAACCATCACAATTGAAAACCTGGAAGCATTGGACGGCCGTTTCGTCCTATTGTGGGACTCCTCAGCAGTGCGCATCCACGATCCCGCGAGTGGGATTCGAACCCAAGGCCTTCGGTCTCGCGCCAAATATCAGAAGGCAATTAATGGACCGAATGGAGATATATTTTCTGGCGATCTCGTGGTATCGAAAGGATACCGAGATCGTGCCAGGATACAAGCTTAGTTACAGAACGTAACCGAAGTCACAATCAAAGTGTGAGAATAAGAATGGAAGCACAATATAGCTGTCATTAGCACAGTCAAACAAAAGCACATTAACTATTCTCTGATAATAATTATCATTTGCTTATTAGCAACTGATTACTTTAAAAGATATTTCGCAGAATTCTAATAAGAAGTCATGATCAGTGAAATTCATCTGTGTTCACTAGTGACTAACTTTGTGAGGGAATTCCCGGAGTTCTAGTAAGAAGCCGTGACCAGTGGAGCTAATCCATGTCGGCTAGAGACAAGTAACTACCTCAGTACAATAAAAGATGGTCGCGCGATTTCGTGGATTAGTTGATGTTAGACACTATCACCATTAGATGCCCGCTCAGTGGTTTAATAGGTTAAGCGTTCGCGCGCGAGACCGAAGGCCCTGTGTTTGAATCCCGCGGGCAGGATTGTGGATGCGCACTGCTGAGAAGTCCCACAATAGGACGAAACGGCTGTCCAGTGCTTCCAGGTTTCCAAAAGCGGTCTAACACCAATCGGTTGATGATCTCAATCAAAAAAGAATTCAACTGTGTCTATTGTGAGATAGTAACTCATTGAAGAGAAAAGTGGCGTAATTTCATGGACTAGTTGAAGTCGGATATTAACACCATTGAATCCCTGTCAGCTCAGTGGTTTACAGGTTAAGCGTTCACGCACGAGATTGATAGATCCTGGATTCGAATCGAATCTTGAGAGGTGGGATCGTGGATACGCATTGCTGAGATGTCACACAATAGGAGGAAATGGCCTTGCATTGCTTCCGAGTTTTCTACGGTCATCTAGCTTTAATTATCTTATGAAATCAACTATTAAATTACTAACTTCTTCATAAAACCCCCTTTCTGACACGGAATATCATTCTTAATGTTGAACAATATTTATTCAGATAATAAGACATTGTTTACAAGTTAAAATTAATAAGAACTTTAATCAGAGATAGATTTTGTAGACGTGTTTAGTAATTTAATCTTTGAATCCATGAATCCATTGAAGATTCTAAGGAGTCCCATACTAGGACTAAACGGCCGTCCAATGCTCCTAGGTTTTCCAGCTTTAATTGACTCAGGACCTTAACTACTTAATTAGTAAGAATTTGTTTGTATTTCTTTATGACCTCTAAAAAAAGTGTTATCTTCTCGATTCTAATAGGTTATTCATTTACTTAACTTATTCAAATATGTAGTCAGTTTTTATTTTAATAGATCAGTAGTAATGTGTTGAAATACATTATTAAACAATATAAGTTAAGTCTGTCTACTGGCTGAATCTCACGGTTGTACTAGTTTATCAATGTATCTTCTTAGATTGCCGAATAAGATGGTGGTTTTAGGTAGTCGATAGGAGACCCTGAACCTAGATTTCGTGCTATTTGGCACTCGTCAGCAAGGTGTACCTGTAATTTTGAGGGAGTTGATGCTCCCTAGTGTGTTCGATCTCATGTTACCCAGCTTCACGGTCAGAGGCTGGGCTATCCGGGACGTAACTGACCTCCTGTAGAACTGAGATGTATTCACTATTGATTGATCACAGGGGTAGCGATCAATATCATGTATGTCTGGTCCTACTTAGTTCAGATCGAATCTTATCGACCAAGTTTCACCTAGGACTATTTTATGAAGTTTCCATCCATAATAATAATTATTATTTTAACATTGCAAATTGTGTTATTTCGTCAGTGAAATAATGAAATACCTATGGTACTTATCTTCTTTTTCATTAAATGTTTATTCATGTCACTAGATTGTATGTATCCATTAGTTTATCTAATAGAGGTTGATAATATAAGTTTGTTTTAATCACATAATACTAATCAGAATAGTTCTACATTATAGCTGACTGACTGACTGACTGAGTCGTTCTCTCTAAATATTTGGGTTTTTATATTCTGCTCCCTCCCAATCTTTCGTCTACTTGACTATATACTATCTCTCAACACTAATGGAGACTGGATACGCCTAGATCATAGTGATAAAAAGTAATACCGTATTATAAGTATCAATATCAAACTTTAATAATACCAGATATTATTGACCATTTGGTAAATGGTAAATACAGCTATGCAATCATAAATGTATGTATGTATGTGTGTGTGTGTTTCAATCTCAATAAATGAATCAATAATTATGAAACTACTAAAATGATCTTAGTAATATAGTACAAATGATACATAGCTTCTGTGATTATCAGTATAAGGTTGTGGTTATTATTTAGTTTTTGATTGAGATCATGAGCGGATTAATGATAGACCATCACTGGACGAAACAGTCGTCCAGTGCTTCCAGGTTTAACATCAATCAATTCATGATCTTAATCAAAAATATCAGTGATGTTTTATGAAACATGGCCATTAAGAGTAAAAGACACTCGTAAACTATCAGTATTTGACCACAGATGCCTTACAAATATTGCTGGCGTCTGCTGGGATCACCGGGTAAGTGATAGTGAGGTTAGACTCAGGGTATTAGGGAATGATGTTAAATCAGTTGATGAGGTTGTGAATCTTGATCGACTGAGATGATTGGGCCACGTGTTACGTATGCCTGAACACCGATTACCACGACGTGCAATGCTAACCGGTGTTGGAGATGGTTGGAAGAAAGTTAGGGGCGGCCAAACCAAAACGTGGCATCAGTTCACAAAGTCACTAACTTCTAGTGTGAGCCATGTTGGTAGATGCAGATTACTTGGTTGGGGTCCACGTGACTATTGTAATTAATGGTTGGAGACTCTTGGCGACATGACTCAGAATCGATCACAATGGCGTCGGTGTATACACTCTTTGTCTTCCCTTAAACTAAGAGATTAAAATCGCTTCATATCTTTCTTTCTACAAACTAATTCTTTCTTTCTGTACTATATCCTTATATGCAATCTTTCTCCTATATATTACCACCTCTGAATTAACTACTTCTATGAATTCGATGTCCATCTTGTTGTGTTAATGAGGTATGGCAACTTGGACCGATGCGCATATGTGCCTGGTCCTACGTTGTAGCTGACTGGCTGACTAACATATTAGAAAGTAAATATAGTGGTACATTTAATTACTATCATTGACATAGATGATTTATTTCATTGTCATAAATCAAATTTGATTGATAGGGTTATTGAAAGTTGATTACATAATCTGATTTTATTGATTTATGCATTAAATATTGATTGATTAGCTTATGTGTTTGCGATTAATCATCGAATATATTACCAATTGTCTATTCACTAGTTATTTATAAGAATCTAAGAGAAACTGATCAGATTGTGATTCTTTTTTATTTCAATTAATTAATATGCCAATATCAATAAGAGATTAATCATTATTGTATCCAAATTCATTTAGTATCGTTTCACTTGTATCTTCCCACTGATGTTTAGGACTGCAATTGATGAGTTTCTGTTATTAGCATATGTGCATCTTATATGGATTGCCTCGATATTACCTTAATTTACAAGCATTATAAGCAAAGGTGGATAGTGGCTAGTAGTGGAATTGAGGACGCGCGTTTCGTCCTGTTTGGGACTTATCAGCCGCATGCGCTTGCATCTTAGACTTGTTGATGTTCACTCTGGGACTCGAACCACTATCCATCTTTGCTTATAATGCAATTTTAAACATCAGTGCTAAGATTCAAGTAAACAATACCAAATGAATTTAAACTTCACCCTATTGCACAAACAAGTGGTTATAAGGACTAATTAGATGAGTGGATAACGCGATAGTGTTTGAAACGAACGATACTAAGTTCGAGTTTCAGAGCGAACATAAACTCTGTGATGTAGGTACATTAAACTGACGACTCCGAAACAGGACGAAACGTACATCCTGAATTACATTGCTCTAGGCATGATCTATCCAACAAAATCAGTTCTGATACGGGACTAATGCTGTCAAGTTTCATTAGAACTACCATCTTTTAAACTAAATTGAAAATTTACAAACTGTACTAATGAGCTTTACAATTGAATTATGTTATAAACATAATTCAATCTAAACGGATATAGATTCTTGAATCGAAACGTTGATTATTTTCCCCATTGAATAAAACATCAATTCTTACAAATTATTCCTGGATTCTATTCATGTTTCAGGGGATTCAACTAATGTCACATTGGTCACATTGTATTGGATACATATATATCAAAACGATTATGAAATTGCCTTAATTAATCACTGTTTGGTTTACTTGAATGATTTATCCCATAGATGCTAAATACGTAATAAAATCAATTTGTTATATTGTTCACTGTTTTGTTATTCTTATTTGTGTTTTATCACCAAGAGAAGGTAATGATAAATATTGATAAAGTACAATAGTAAACTTATGCAATAAGTTTGACATAAGAAGTGTTATATTATTGAGTTCTTTTTCGATATGATTTATCAATTATATTACTATAAATGATTGTTGATCAAAGAGAGTTTTCTTTCTTTATCAATTTGTTCTTTGTAAAGACTCTACACTAACATTTAG